CTTTGATTTTACGCCACCCATTTGTTTATTTGTTTATAGTTACCAGGAGGGGTCAGAAGTTATCAGTCACCTACGGCTGCATAGCTGAATAATACCAGGCCCTGAGAGAAATATTTGCTCTCCTCATTTAGAACAATACTTTACATTTCTTGGCCAAATGCCTGTAACTTGAAATAAAATGATAAGTGTACATTTTTCTAACAATTCCCTTCTGTTTATAATTTTATTTACAATTGAACCTTAACTTTAGCCTACTTCAAGTACTCATTACTTGCATGCTGCATTTTCAATGAGACTGTCATTTTGTTAAGCATTTATAAAAAGAAACTTAAACTACAGGTTGTACTTCTTCTAGAGGAATTTGTGAAAGCATTTGATATTGAAACATTACATTTCCCATCGTTTTAGCTATCATAGATTTTAGGCAAGGGATTACACAGGCAGTAAAAACACAAAAAAGGATAACAATAAACAGTGTCAATATCTTCAGGAAGAGGTGCCACTACAGTCCTGACATGAGCCAGGAGAGGAAATCCATTCTTAGAGGAACTGCATCCTGGGACATGGCTTGTTGCAGATTCCTTAAGGCAGACATAGCTTCAGTAACATGAGTTTCATTAGCATCAGAAATGTATGTACAGCAGGATGTTTTAATCATCACACATACACCGCCTTGACTAGCAGTTAACATGTCAAGAACCATTCTGTTTTGCAGTTCCATTAAAGGCATTTCACTTAATTGCTTGTTTTGTCCCTTATTGATGTCCATTGTCATGTTCACCAGGGTCTTCATTCTGTAGTCCAATGTCTCGATCATTAACATAGTTTTGCCAACCCCCAACCATGGGAAAAATGAAAGTACTATTTTGCTAGCTGTGCTCCAGTGCTTATGTTCAGAGGGAACGTTGGAACCCCATCTGGGATCATGGGGTTGGAACACTGAGCTGGAGCTGAATTCTTTTCTCCCTCTATTAGAAGAATGATGGTCCTTCACAGCCTGAGCTGAGATGATGACAGTGTGGTCAGAAACGAACACAGGAGCACAGGTGCCTGACCAGTTTACAGGCAACAATGGATAGATGCTGTTTCCTCCACACAGGAACCAGCCACCCTGTGTAGGAAAGTTAACTTGTGGTTTCCAAGTAGAACAGT